AAAACATTCCGCGCGCTAAGATACTACAACATCATCAAGGGCAAGTCAACATGAAGACGTGCGGTACATCTACTAGCCACGGGGTTTTTTTTTTTATTTTGATTTTTTTTTTTGTGCAACAAAAAGCAATAACTATCGTTGATAGGTTACCAAAAAGGAAACACGCTGCGGAAAAAGTCATGTGATTCGTGTTTTGTTTTTCTCTTTGACCGTGGATCACCTTGTGCTTAGTTAGTGATAATGGACGAACCATTATTTTTCTGGGGGGGGGGGTATGAGAAATATCGAAAGAAGTTGTTTGCAGGGTCTGAAAAGACTAAATTGTTTGCAAACGTGATAGGGTAAAAATAATGGTTGCAGAGAAGTCAGGTAAGATATAAAAAAATGTTATTACCAAAGTGTATCGACAAAGTAAGTGGCTAGAGCACTACTGATTACGTTCTTCGTAAAATAGTTCAATAAGGCAATGGTAATATTTAGTACAAATAAAAAGATCACAGAAAAAAATGGAAAAAAATTGTTTGCACGAAGATGATGTTGGAAAAAAAAAAAGAAATGTTTGCGGAGACGTATATGTTTTAAGAAAAATGTTTGCAGAAGAAAATTTCTCCTACCCCCTCTCCAGAAAAATAATGGTTCGTCCCTAATGAAAAAGTGATGGAACAGAAAGGCATTTGAGAAAAGTCAGGAGCCCGTGGGATATCACTACTGCATGTAAGTAATCGTAGCGTTATGGGTGTTGACCAATTGCTTTTCAAATAATTGTGTTCACATATTTACCGAAAACGGTATCTATCTGTGCACAGGTAGCCCAAACTCACTTAATTTCTGCAAGTATTTTTACGCAGCGCGATAGGCGAAATATAGGAAAGGGAATAGAAAGATGCATTCTGGATCTAAAAATAGAAATATCTGCAAACTTGCTTCGCTTAATGGTTGTTCCTTCGTACAGTGTGTATTTCTTGGCCTAATTTAGGGCAGTTTAGCTCGGTTTTAGTTCATCTGCTTTGTCCTCTATACTATATAAGGCAGATGAACTAAAATCGGGTTAAGCGAATAGAGATTATTGAGAAATTTAGCAAGGTATTTATTAATTTCTGACAAAATGCATCAACTCAGCCATGACTTACCCTTTCCCCAATTTTTTGTTATCTCTGACTTATGATTAAGATACATCCGATTCGTTGACTTTTAAAAAATTCTGAAAACATTTTTCTTTGTTTTGTTTAACAGTTTGAATTCATATTGTGGGTCACGGTACACTTATTGATCGATATCATACTAGCATTTACGTATAGAGAGCTTCTCGAGCCAATCAATGATCGGGTTTGGAGCTGTTTGTATTACTTCTGACCATTTATAGCTTCTCATGATGGACTGTTATCGTTTAAGTTATTATTTATAGAGAAGGTAAATTTCTAAAGAAACTGTGATGCTGCCTCGTTAAGGGGTGTCACAAAATATAAACAATTTAGATTGTAACAAAAATTGGTCTGAAACTCTTTCCGATGGCCAATTTAATCTAAATTATTAGGGACCTTAAGCGGCGACGGCGACGGCGACGGCGACGGCGACGCCAAGGAAGACGTCGATTAAAAAGTGAATTTCTACTTTTAATTAGAATTCCGAAAATGGCTGTTTACCGTCTCATACGGCGCCACATCTCAACCTCAAAATAACATTTAAAAGTAGAGTTAAGTTCCAAATGGAAATGAGAATAATTTGACGTCCGGGCTTCGGTTCGCTGACGTTGCAAATTTTGGTGATTTCACGTTGTTTTTTTTTTTTGTATTTTCTGCATGTCTTGCTATGACTATGGGTTTGATATTTCTTGACTAGTTCATGCAATTCAAGATCAGTATCTTTGTCAGGTAAGTAGCCTTGCACATGCTGATTAAAAATTAAATCAAATTTTTAATTTTAATTTAATTTAATTTTGAGGGACGCGTTGCAGTACTACTTCATTTTAAAAATGACACAAGCAAAGTGAACGTCATCTAGAAATCGCCATAATTTTTGTCTCACTTTCAAGTCAACTTTTAATTTAATTTTAATTTTAGGTAAGTAGCCTTGTACATGCTGATCTATAGTCAATATAGGCATCCTTTGTATCATGGGATAGCTTTGGGCAATCTGATGTCCATATTTTTTGTAAGGGACGGCGAAGATATATACTAATTTTATACGGCACGTGCTGAGCTATTGTTCTGGCAATTAGATCTTTGTTTTTTCCCGTCCTTGTTGCCGTCGCCGTCGTGGTTCGCTTAAGGTCCGGTCCCTAACCAAAGCCTGGAAAAGAGAACATTGAGATATTTTGGATCGACCTTATTTGATTTTTGCCACAAGCCATCTGTTTACCAGAAAAACAGTCACTCAATTACAAGACCAAACCTTAAGCGAACCACACTCTCCGAGGAATAAAGAAAACTTAATACGAACAGAATACTAAACTATAACTAATATAATTTGAATATATCAACAAAGTTGAAATGGTAAATTGGCCACCGTTACGATTATAAAAGCTGACGTTTCGAGCGTTAGCCCTTCGCCGGAGCGAATAGAGGAATTGTGGGTTGTGTGTGCTTTCAAAGGCAGAAAATTGC